AATATAATATCATCCAAATGACTCTGGCTGTGGTGGAGAGGAGGTCGCTTACAAACTCTTATCCATCTACTCCCGCGCTCTCTGCACTACTTACTTTCTCCGGCAATTCAATTCAATTCAATTCAATTTTATTTATATAGCGCCAAATCACAACAAAAGTCGCCTCAAGGCGGCAGACGGTTTCGAGGACAGATACTGATCGCCGTCATCACCTCACGCACTAACTTTATAAGCCATCTTATCTGTCTAGTAGAGAATTACTTGTTCTCTCATATCATCATTCAGTGTATTTTCACCCTGCACTCTATCACACTGAGCTTCTTTAATGCTGACATTTGCTGGAATGACCAAATTTAAATGTAGATTAGATTAAATGTAATGATCCTTTATTATTTATCCTTTATGTAGTCAACATTTTACAAAGCATGTGACTGCATTTTATTTAGATTTTTATTTACTGAGAGTCTTTCTTCTTTTGCATATTTTACCCAAATTTTCTTATATTTTATTGCTGTATTCTACTTTATTATAAGCTGTACTTAATTTTTTGGCTGCAGTAACACAAGAATATCCTATCTTTGGAGAAATATACATGGGGTAAACTCTTTTCAACACAAAAACACAAAAATTAAACGAGTGTCACAAATTAACATTATAATTCTCTAGATTAATTTATTCATGACGTGTCAGTGATGGATTTTAGAGGGCATAAACATTTATTGTAAAAGAATAAAACATAAATGGGAAAACAGCCGAGCCCACATGTTCAGTATCTACGATCCTCCCTGTTTATCTTTACTTCTAACAGCAGCCAGGCTCTCCTTTGGAGGCAGAACAGAAAGACAAACAGAAGTCCTGTTCTCCAGAAGGCTTTAGATAGCGTGGCACTTTCAAGACTCTGCCAAATACATCTATATTGCATACTCACAGTATGTTAGTTATACTCAAAGTTTGTTTCCCCTGTGAAACAGTTTCACAATAATGTTTTCTTGACATTTAAGCACATCTTATTTCAGTGTTTTCATTTTTTGGTGTGGCGCAGGATAATAGTTTGATTGAGGTTTGAACTCTGGTACCAGGACATCAGGAGGGTGTGTAAAAAGCCCGTTTATGAAACTGTAAAGATAACCTATTCCTGTGTGGTGGTGGAAAGCTTTAGTTCGTTTCCAGCGTAGACGCAAATCCCCTTTGGCGTTGCGTCAGGCGGGTTAAAACCCTGCCAGATCAAACATGCACATCTCCCTAGTGTAGTGAGTGTAAGGCAAGGGAGCAGCCAAATGTAGTTTTCTCTACAAGTATACTCAAGTTTGAGCTTTTTAGATCCTTGCTAAGGAATTAGCATCGACAGCACATTTAGACCAACAGCAGCACTGAGATAAAGCAACACAGGGTGAGGTTAAAGCTCATAAAGGGGATGAGACCCAAGTCCAGTTTGAATCATGGAGTTTTTCCACTCCAAAGAATGAATGACCAGCATTCTTCCTGCAAGAGAAATTTTTGGCACCTCCCTAATGAGGTTTAATCCAACCCCTCCCACAAATCTGTTGTAATATGTATTTTACCAGTTTCACTTCCTCAAGTGTAACTGCTCATCAATGCACGTCAGTATGCCAGATTCGACGGGTTTTAAGAGTTGAGCAACAACACGGCTAAGGCATTAAGACTCAGGGATGTGACCACTACACATGATGCAACCTGATCTTTTATCTTGGGCAGAAATGTGGCTTTGCTTTGAGCAAACGTGACACATGACTTGCTGCCAGATGAAGGATTAAAAAAGTCTGGATCAACTTTTCTGCCAGACCACGCCGTGTGTTTTTGCCAGAGCCGTCCGTGTGCTCAGCAGCCTCACTGCGCTGACTGGCTTCAAAGAACGAGCAGCGCTTTGTCATGCTGTGCCTCAGTCTCTCTGAATAAGGCCTCAGTGTCTCATGATGGTCTAAAATCGCTTTTCTGAGGCGTTTCCACTCTGATTAAAATGATATACTGTGTGAAGGACAAACAAAATACTGATATCAATATATATTGCAAAGAGCAGCCTCCAGGGATAAAAAATAGAACCACCAAGAAAACAACCAGACACCTTAAATACCCACATTTACAACAGCAAAGGTTAGCATGTTCATAACCTATTGATCTGGAAAGAGTATCCTTAAAATCAATGGATGGTATCCATCTTTTATATACAGTCTATGATATATTAGGGTCAAGGTTTCTGATGGTGTTCAAACTCACAGGAAGGCTGCTCCTGTCTGCACTGCGATGCATCCTCTCCATGTTCAGCATAGGTCTGAACAGACGGATGTGGTTGTCGACGCCACGGTACGCCTTCATGCCTTCAAACAGCTGGAGAAGGTAGAAACAAATAACTTTTGTTAGTTACTAT